ATATGTATGGATTGTGATAAGAGTTTTATGAGCCGCAATAAAATGATTAAAAAAAGTGATAAACAAAAGTAATAATACTAAATCAACAAAAACAAATTTCAAAAAATCAATGGCCCTGACCCTTGCAATGAAGGATGTAACGTACATGAACACCATCAATTTTGGCTTTAAAGAAATCTATGAATTCTCAAGAATAAGAGAATAGGATTAAGGGATTTCTCTTCAAACTGAAAAGTGACCACACCCGAGTTATCTGACTAAGTAGAGTAGATAGAGCCTGCAGGAAGAAAGCCAACAGATGTCCTTGAAAGAAATGGCAGACGCTCTGGTGAGTCCCCTTTGACCTTAATTAAGGGTCACGAATAGCCTTGCTATCAGAAAGAAAGAATTGTATAATTGATTATGGTAGATATAGTTAGGCTAAAATGTACTATCTTATCATTTGATCTCCCCTCTGACCCATAAGTGAGGGGAAATACATATGGATGAAGCCTCTATTCCTTAGAGTCTAATGAATTCCCTCTGACCAAAGACCAGGAGTCTGAATAGCTTTGCTACTATGCAGAGTGCAGTGGAAAGTGGATTATTGCAAATGTATTTAGGTTAAAATTTAGCACCTTATTACTTAATCTCCCTTTGGAACCAGCATAACTTTATTTCGTTTTTAATGTTTCTACCTTCTTGACAATTTTGGGATTTCTCTGTTTTACTTTGTTATTATTGTTAGTTTTATTGTTGTTGATTTTGGCGGGGTATGCTTTCCTGTATATGAAATCCAGCTTAGGTAAAGCTATAGAGAGAATAACTGGATTAATGGATCTTTGGGAGGATGGCAGGGGAGATTAGGGGAAATGGAGAGCTACTAACAATGACTACAACAAAGAAGACTGTGCTAACATCGATTGTGGTAATGATTGTACACGTCGTTTGTTATGACTGACTATTGAATTGTGTGATATGTGGCCTATAAACCAATCTATGACTGTTTGATGTTTTGTTTTAGGGATTAAGAAGCCGGAGGACCGGCTGGAAGTTTGACAAGCCGTGTGCCCTGAGCTGCTCCAGTATCATGCGATTAGGGATCTGTTCTTGCTATCTACTGGCCAAAGAGTAATACTTATTCTCTAGGAAAGTCTAGATAGGCAGACATCAGTGCAGGTTGAGCAATCTACTGAAACTTGGAGTGGTAATTGAACGTTTATGTACTAAACTATTAAATTACTAAACTCTTCTGTTGCTTTAATCCTACAACTCTACTGCTCTAATCTTAGAACTCTAACACCCAGACTTAATTTAATCAGAAGACACTGGAGTTAATATCAGGGAAACCGATCGCAGCCATCTGCACTCCAATCTTTAGATTCTCATTCTAACATGTGATAATAAAAGCATTTATAAAAAATTTATAAAAGATGCATAGACATATGAAAGTATCCAAAATAAACATGAGTAGAATCAAAGAGAAGAGTAAACAGAATGCAGAAGAGATTTTAAATGAGATGTCTACAAAGTGCTGGGAAAATATTAAACAATAAATTCAATATGTTACAATCTTAAACAGAACACATGCAAGGAAAATGTCTTGGTCATTTTCTTAAAAGAATAACAAACAAAATACAAAAATTAGGAAAATTTTTTTAAAGATTCAGAAAGATGTGCCTGCCAATGAATGTACAAATGTGCTTTACATGATTGATGTATGTATGGCTTGTGATAAGAATTGTATGAGCCCCTAATAAAATGATTTTAAAAAAAGATGGGCCTGCATTATTTTAAATGATGCTACACAGATATTTATGGCAGACTTTTCTATGAATTGAAATTCGCTCGATGGTGGTGAGTTTGGTTTTTTGG